GTTTTCCATTCATCACCCTCCCTAATCCGTATACGGTAGTAGGCTTTCCTCAAGTCCAGCTTGGTAAACACTTTGCCCTTTGACAGGTGATTGAGCAAGTCCTTCATGAGGGGGAAGGGGTAGGTGTTCTCCATGCACACCCCATTAATCCAATGAAAATACACGCAGAGCCTCATCCCCCCCGTCCTTCTTTTTAAACAGCACAGGGGCCGCCACTTTGGATTTTGCAGGCTCTATGATTACAAATCGTTAGATTTGTGTCTATGTACTTTCTCAACTCCTTCAATTTGGTCGGAGTCATTGAGTACATGTTAGGCTTGGAAAGTTTCGCCCCGGCACGAATTCTATTGTGCAGTCGGTCAGGTGATGTGGGGGAAGGAAGTTGCTAAGCACTCCTCCAAGTCTCGATACTCCCGGGGCATCTGCTGGCTGCCCGGCGGGACGTTCTGGGCCGGGGCAGCAGTCTCCAGAAGGGTTGCTTTTTCCGGGTTCATGATCTCTGGGGTGGGGAGTTCTTGCCTCACTGGTGGCAACGGGCCCAGTCCAATGACTATCTTTCTGTGGCTGCCATCCCAAGAGATCATGGGTCCCCAATTATCGAGCCATGAGAACCCCAAGATTATGGGACCTGTCATCTTGGAAACAACTACAAACTGGAGGAATTCTTTGTGGCACCCCAGTTCTAACTTAATGAGCTCCCTGAGTCTGGTGGCAGGGGCACTGCCAATTAGCGAGCCATCCACCTGCTCGAAGCTGATAGGCTGTCGGAAGGGGTGAGTGCGTGTGCCTAGTTGCTTGATTATTATAATAACAATGTGGGGGCTAATTAGGCATCGCGTGTAGCCGGTGTCTGTGACTGCCTCCACTCCTCCCTGGGCTCTGGTCTGGGGGGCCATTAGGGTAACCTTCAGGGCAAAGGGGCGGATGGCTCCACTCACTATCGGGTCATCCTCACCATTGTCTTCCTCTGTGGAGGGGGAGGGGGAATCCCCGGTCGGGCTCTTTTCTGATCCTGCAGGCTGGGCAGGGCTCTCTGCCGCTTGCTTAGTCCCTTGTCCGGCAGTTTCCGCAGGGTTTTCTTAGGTCCTGCCCAAGCAGGGGACTTCGCCCGGGGCAGGGATGCTGGAGCTAAGCATTCCGATGCTCGATGGCCCCTGTTGGGTGACGTTGCTGAACCTCAACCTAATCAGCTGAAAATCGTCCGCGTCCTAAATCATCTGCAAACGCTTGTAATTTATACTCCTCTTTTTAAATTTTCATCCCTTTTATCTCATCATTTTGTCTATTTGTTTGGTATTCATTATAGAAGAACCGCAAATAACAGGCCTTAAACTATTAGAACAGATAGAAAGATATGGAAAAGTCTCTAGTTTGAAAATAAACAAAGACAAAACAAAAATCTTGGTGAAAAATACAACAGAAAAACAAAACAGAGATAAAAGAAACGTTAGATATACAGGTTGTGAAGAAAGTTAAATATTTGGGAGTACATTTAACTTCAAAATGTGCAACAATAAAGGAAGAAAACTATTATAAATTAAAACAACAAATGGAAAAAGATTTGGAAAAATGGAAGAATCTCCAACTATCACTTATGGGACAGATTGCATTGATAAAGATGAACATGGGAGACTTCCGTTGGCACCGCCGGCGTCACTGACAGTCTTTTTAGACCGCCAGCCCCGCGATTCCGTTGGAGCTGTTCTGACAGCGCTAATCAGCTGTCAGACGGCTCGAAAACCTCTCCTTTGGGAAAAGAAGGAGAGGAGAGCCGGTGGGTGAGGGTAGAGCTCCCCGGGAGCCCCTGGAGCAATTCCAGGGGCTTGGAGGATGAGAGCTCCCCGTTCAGCCCACTGAAGCTCCGGATCCGTGGCGACTCCGTTTTAAACAGAGCTAGATGCCGGCGACCAACTCTGCAGTCAACAAGGAGATTAATTGATTCCAAAAGCAGGCAGAACGGAAGCAGGAGAACAAGCCTTTGCAAGTATGTTGCTTAACTCCTGGGATACAATGTTTCTACTTGATTTCGCTGAGCTGAAGGAGGAATGGCGTCTTTATTATGGCTGGACTGAAAGTGAAAGCTAAGTGCTTGTTAATAGATTTGTGCTTAGAGACTGGACTTAAGCTGCCGGGATTTGAGAGCTGGGTGTAGAAAAGACTATCTTGCTTGATAAACTACAATTAAATTGGAGAAAGTTGCTTAAGAGATATTTTGGCTTTGAAAAGAAAAATTTTCTTAAAATAATATGGTTTCCAAGCAAAGTGCTGGAAGCTCTTTAATGGCGTCAGAAATGACACAGAGAACTGATTCACAGAGCCAAGAGGATTTTTTCAGAGACCTTACAGAACTTATAAAGGAAGCCATGAATAATCAAATGGCAATTATTAATAACTTGACAGTAATCATAGAACAAAAGTTTATAGAGCTGGAGGAGGATTTAAAAGCAAATGAGGATGTTTTTGAAGGAAAGCACAAAGACAATGAAGGAGACATTTTGATTAAAACAGAGAAGCTGGATTTGGCTGACTCTCAAGGATCTTCAAACTCTTTTCCTGCCCTTGTGGAATTAACTGATAGAATTCTTCAAAAATATAATTTGGAGCAAAAAGAAGAAGAAACTGACCAGCCTTATGAGGTTTCGGAAGATTTGGCAGAGGCATTCACAGAATTAATTGAAATGCAACAACTGGACTTTTTATTGCAAACTCATCGAGTTAACTCTTCGTTCTATGGACTGACTGATTATATAAGCAAGAAGAGTCGATATGGGGGCTCCAAATCAGAGGAAATGATTCTAAGAAAGGGGCAAGTTTTAAAGATACATCAACCCCCAGTTGAAAATCAAAACCTCCTTAAAATAAAAGCAAGAGGGAGGAAAAAAGATTGGAAAAAATATAGAAAGAAAGGAAGAAGGGAAGATTAATTTTCTTTGGTTTAATAACTGATGTATTAATGATTAATTACAATGATTAAGTAAATGAATTAAGAATTCAATTAATGATTAATTAAGGTTTAAGAAAAAATATTTGAATCTTGAGAATAAAAGTAGGAGGGAGAGTAAAATGATTAAGAAAATGAACTAAGAATTTCTTACAGATGTATTATGAGAACTCTAGGCTTTGAATGATCTATTAGTGTTTGTTAATGTTTTTAAAAAACTCTTAGGTCTAAAGGATTATATGTTATTTTGAGTTTAAAGGGAGGTTGATGAATAATCTCTAGAAGGGGAGTTAAGGGATCTAGGGAATTATAGTCTTGCATTAATTTAGCATATTTTAGCGTATGATTGATAAAATTTATACCGTTTTTCTTCTGGGAAGTCAGGGGAGGGGGGTGGGAAGGGGGTGGTGGAAGGGTGGGTTTATAAATGTTTAAATATACAAGTGAAAATGTTATCTGTTTGATTATAAAAAATAATAAAAACCTTTTATTCAAAAAAAAAAAAAGATAAAGATGAACATATTACCAAGATTGTTATTTATATTCCAGATGGTGCCAATAAAAATTGAAAAGACATACTTTCATCATCTGAATAAAATAATGAGGAAATTTATATGGCAAGGGAAAAAAACAAGAATAAATTTGAAAATGCTACAAGACACCAGGTTGGGAGGGGGATTTGGTTTACCAAATTGAGAATTATATTAGCAAGCAGCAACATTGACATGGCTGAAAGAATGGGATTGAACTAAGAAACATAAGGCTGTTAACACTGGAAGGGCATGATTTCTAACTGAGTTGGCATGCTTTTTTTGGTATAGTAGAAATAAGATACATACATACTTTCATAGACATTATATATGAAATGCATTGCTAATGGTTTGGGAGAAGGTTAGAGATAAATACTATGAAAATACCAATATGGTTATCAACGATGGAAGCTTTAATACACCCAAATGTTTTTAATTTTGGAAATATTGTTAGATATAAGGATTTGTTAACAGATAAGGGGGAATTGAAAGAGAAACGAGACCTGGAAGAACGGGGGATTGAGACAGATTGGTATATGTATATGCAGATAAGAACAAGATATGAAAAAGACACTAAGTTACATGGTTTTTATTTGGAAAAGACTGAGTTGGATAGGATACTCACAGGAATGGAAAAAAATTTAATAAAATTTTGTAATATTTTTTTGCTATCTATTGAATTGGAGGAGAAACAGGTAAAAGAAACAATGATAGCTTGGGGAAGAAATTTTGGATATTCAATTGAACTTGAAAAATGGCAACAACTATGGGAAAGGAACTATAAATTAATGATGTCCACCGCATATAAGGAAAACCAATATAAAATATTTTATAGATGGCGTATGCCACAGGAAAAGTTAGCAAAAATGTTTAAAGATAAATCAGCGAAATGTTGGAAATGTCACAAACTACCAGGATCCTATTATCATATGTGGTGGACATGCCCTGAAGCAAAAAATTATTGGAATAAAATTAAAACCTGGCTGGAAGAAATGACACAATTACATATTGAATTCAAACCAGAGTTGTCCTTATTGGGTATCCTACTTGACAAAATTAAAAAGGAATATATTTATTTTATTATACACGTAATAACAGCTGCAAGAATTGTTTAAGCTCAAAATTGGAAATTAGAGAAAATACCTTTGGAAGATGAAGTGATAAAAAAGATTTTAGATTGTGCAGAAATGAACCAATTAACTTCATTGATTAAAGACAGGGAAGAATCAGAATACTGTAAAATATGGAATTATTTTTATTGTTGGTTGGAAAAGAGATATAAATTATTAATTTTATAACTCTGTAAAAATTTGATGGCAAGAATATGGTTATAGGGATGAACTTTTATAGTGGTTTGGATGACGATTAAGATTGAAGAAACTGTTGGAACAAGAAGAATAAAAAGAACTGAAGAAGTCAACACCGAGATATCACAGAGGAGGGATAATTGATGTATTAAATGTTTGTTTGTCTTAAAAAATAAAAAAACTTTTTAAAAAAATCATCCGAGTCCTATAACTCCAGGTTCCCTCATCATGAAGCTCAGCCCTCATTCCAATGCTTCTCCCTCGTTCATGCCTTCGGCGATGGCAGAGATCAATTCACAATCAGAGGGGTATTGGTTCCCATACTGATCGATGTAGGCCCAGACTCGGTTCAGGAAGTATGCCAGCTTCCCTGGGGTCCCATTGAAGGTCAACGCAAGGGGAGGGAGCGCCGCAGCAGGCACAGGCTGCTGGGCCAGGACTTGCTGCGGGTTCACTGGCAACTGCTGTGGGATCGTGGCTTGGGGTTGCGGCTGGACCACTTGCTGAGGAAACTGCATATGCAGCGGCATCCAGGCAGGCGTCCATTGACACTGTACCGACCCCTGGCCTGGGTAGTAAGCCCATCTGGAAGGGATTTGGCTTGCAGGTGGGAACCCCATCCCGGGTGGCAGTTGCGGGGCTGGCAAGCTCCAAGCCCCTTGCGGCTGGACGGGAACTCCATGGCCAGCCTGGCTGGCTGGCAGGGGGTGCAGTCCTGAGCGGCGGGAATCCACAGCTGGGCTTACCCGAAGCGACAGGCCGGGGGCTGAGCAGCTTCAGGCTGAATGAAAAGTTGTTGCCGCTTCAGCCCTTTGTGCTACTGGTCCCTGGCTAAGGAAGGTGAACATTGGTTGTGCCAAGGTCCACTCTGGCAGCCCTGTGCTGGCATGCTGGGCATCCCATTTACTCTGAGTCGGCTTAACTACTCCGGTAAACCAGCTAGGGATTGGCTGCATGACGGCGGCGGGAGTCCCCATTCTTCAGAGTGCCTGTGGTGCGGCGGCTGCGATAACTCTCATCGTGGTTCCCACATTGCTCCTTGAAGCAGGGTGGCTCCGCTGGCTTCGCCTTGCACTGCCAGGTCCTGCTGCAAGCTTCACTTCGGCAGTTACTCCTTAGGCCGGACACCCAGTTGGTGGGCAGCCTCCGCAGCCTTTATCGCTTCCACCATCCCAGGGGAAGGAGAATAGAGAGTCTCAGGAACTGTTGCTGAGCCCATGCCTGCTGCTCCCTCCATAGGCTTCTTTTCCTCCTCCATCTTCCCTGAATCTTCGCGTCACCCTGGGTTGGGTTGGTGCGTGGAGCTCAGGACCTCGAACAGCTCCCCAGGGTTGAGAAATCTGCTCTAATTTTAAAGGAGATTTTGGTTAATGTCAGGGTTCCAAGTAACACCCCCAACAAAATCAAACTCTGAAACTTGAAGTTCCTCAAAGCTAACTTTTATTAGGGATGTCATATTGGCACATCTGGGAAAACCTGAATCTGAAAGCTTCTGGGTTTTCCTCATCCACAAGGAAGTTCAAGACCTTGCCCACATCTCCCACATGTCCACACAGCTGCAATCAGTTCTTTCCCGAACAGAAGACATCCTCCAATTTCTTCTTTGCACAGCTGCCGGACACCATGGCCTTGAACTTCTCTTAGAGAAGTTTGTTATGCCTATCTCTATTTCACTCATGCAATCCTCCCTTCCAACTTCCCATGGTATGATTGTGGCAGGCCTGGATCCTCAAGGCACATAGGTAATATGGCTTCCAGGCATGACAAAAGGCTTTTTTGATCATAACTTCTACCTGCTGATTAAGACAGATTTTTTTTATTCCTTTTTTTCAAGGAAGATCCCAAATGAGGTTATGAACTAGCAAGATCAATTTCCATTTCATAATCAACTTTAAATCCTGACTGAAAATGCCTGAGATAATCCATGATATTTGTGGTCTTCTGTAGTTGATTTGCAACCATCTTCTCACCTAGCTTTATAGGGAAATGGAAATTGGAAAAGCAACAATAACTAATTTTTTTGGAGTGGGAATTCAGATTCATGGTATACTACTGTCTCCTTAAACAAAAGTATTACATATTTTTTCAGACATACATTAACTACTTCCCACAGCTACCTTTGACCATCCACAGAAACCACTGATCAAGTACACAAGTGGCGGCATTCAAACAACAGGACCTTAATCCATTTCAGATGCTACTGGGAGAAAAGAATCCAAATACAAATACTAGTTAACTACAGTGAAACATACAATCCAGAATGAAACAGATGGCTTGATCTGTTAAGGAACCTGTCAATTCATCTGGTATGCATGCAGGGATTGGTTGTGTCCTGTTATCTTTACTCTGAAGAGGGTTGCCAGGAAGCTGAACATCATAAGTGCAGAGAAATGACATGTTGCTGCTTTGATTGCTATGTGTAGGCTCAAACATAGAGCTCTTAATCAGGTTTCAGTAACTGCTTCTGGTTTTCTGCCATTGTACCTAAATTGCCCAAGCTATAATCAGAGCAAATGTAGTGGTAGTCTAAATTGAAATGGTACAGGATTTAGATTTCCTAATAAAGAAGCCATACCCTTTGGAAGTCCATTTTTACAATTTTAATGGAAATTGTCAAATCTTTATTTAGGTACACCTCTAATGCTTAATGTAAAACCAAATTCAAATTAAAAGGCCTTGCATGAGAAAAAGATTAGGTAATATTGAGCCTAGATACCATATAAAAAGTTTATGTCCAACTGTTCAGCATGCTGTTACTGAAATTGTGATTATTTATGCTTCACATTTTAAATATTGGTTTTAGTATTTAAATACAGGATGCATGTGCTTAGAAAAAGCCATTCAGCTAACAGTAAATACTGCAGAGAAATGAAGACTGTTGTCCGCAAGCTGCATTGTAACTATTTCCTATTAAACTAGGGAGAATTCAGCCTTCTGTTTATGGAATTTCTTGTTTCGTGTTCCTTCCAAGGAATTGGAATAACAAATCCAAAGCATACATATGAAAGGCAGCATGTGGGCTGTATAATTCCAGTTAGCATTACCACCTTGTTTTTAGAATGTAAATGAGAAATAAATGAAACAAGAAAATAAATTTTATTTAAAAGTCCAAAGGAAATATAGATGCAAGCTGCTAATAATAAAGTTTCCTTAGGATTTCAGAAGCCAAGGAAACAATAACTTTATCAGCGTGGATGCTGAGAGAGGGGGGGGGGAATGGTTATTGTAAGTTAAGGAAAAAAACATGGAGAATAATTTAAGCAGATTTATTGAAAAATGCAGACCTCATTTTAGCCACTTATAAAAAGGATTTTTATACTTTCATTCTGGATGTAGATATCTTCACTATCTCCTTAATCTTGCCATTTATTTGTTGAGAATTACTGCTTATAGAGAGCCATCTGACCCTGGGTTTCACATTAGAAATACTGGCTCTTTTGCTCTAGCAAGTTCATAAAGTATAAGGTAAAAGTAAAGGTTCCCCTCACACATATGTGCTAGTTGTTCCTGACTTTAGGGGGCGGTGCTCATCTCCGTTTCAAAGCCAAAGAGCCAGCGCTGTCCGAAGATGTCTCCGTGGTCATATGGCCAGCATGACTAAACACCGAAGGCACATGGAACGCTGTTATCTTCCCATCAAAGGTGGGCCCTATTTTTTTACATGCTTTCAAACTGTTAGGTTGCAGAAGCTGGGACAAGTAATGGGAGCTCACCCCATTACGCAGCACTAGGGATTCGAACCGCTGAACTGCCGACCTTTCCATCGACAAGCTTAGCATCTTAACCACTGAGCCACCGCATCTCATATACTATACTGTAGGTCAACAGCTGCCTTTAAGTTGGCTGATGTGCATATAAGAACCATAGCTGCCATTTAATTCAAAATTTCAGTACAGTAGAATTTTACTTGGTCTCATTCCAAAATTGGTAATATACAGATTGATATACAATACATTATGCTTGCATCTAATCAGATCTAGGAATTTCCTTGTGGAAAATGGAAACCACATTGGTGCAGAGATCTGGCAGGTCATGACAATTCAAAAGGAGTAAATCACCAAACAACATTCCACAGAAAAAAGGAGCCTGAAGGAATCTAAGTTAAAGGCCACCATATATGATCAGCACCGAAAGAAAATTACATAAGAATCTTGATTGACAAAATATTCTGAAAAAGTGTCACTGCTATTGTAAGAATATCTCTTATCAAAAACCGAGGACTATGTGACATTTTAGATCACTTGTAGGAACCTAATAATGGAAACTTCCTTAAAAAGGAGCTTATGTTTTGAGTTTTATGCTGAACTCTGGAACATCCTAGAATCACCACCCCAAATCTCTATACATACCATCACCTTGAATAATTAATTCAATATCAGATCATACAGTTATTGACAATGAAAGTTTAAAAAAAGAATGACTGATTTGAAGTTAACACTCTGTTATTCTACATTACACTTCTGACATCAGCCACATTTACATCATACTGAGAAGAAGCTATAGTTTCTATTTTGGAGGGTAAAGCTTTGATAGGAAAGCTTTGTGGGAAGACAGTGGCAGAGCAAACAGACATAACCTCAAATTTATGTGTGGCTTGTATTGTGGCAAAACATAGTCTTTGGAAAGAAATTTAACCAAGAGTTTAGAACACTGTATCCAAAACCCAAAAACTTTGTATCAGGAGCCCTGATAGGGCATTCTTGATCCCATAGAGATCGGGAAATAAAAGGGGAAGTTCCTAAGCCCCTGGGCGACACGCTATCGCCCGGGAGGACAAAGGACTAATCCCTTTAAAATTGGTGGAGAGGAAGTCGGCCTGCAAGGTGGATTAGGAGCGTTGGTGGCCGTATAGAAAGGAAGCAAAGAGTGAAGAAAACAGTTTCTAGTGGCAGACGAAATGGACCCAGAAGAAGGAAATTGGAAAAAACGGAGAATCGGAAGCGCAGAGTGAGGAGGACACAAAAGAGACGGACAAGTTAAGTCCAAGAAGCGGCGACGGATTAGGAGGGAAGCGCAGCACGAAACAGAAAAAGAGGTCAGTGCGAGTGAAGGAGGATCCCAGAGAGTGAGACAGCAGAATGGGAGGAGGAATAGCGATAGAGTTAAGATCCCAAACATAAAGAAAACACAAAAACATGAAATACAAAGAAAACATCACGAATTAGATAAAATTATATTAGGGACAGATGAAAAACTAATTAGCAAGATACACAAATTTTTACTAAATTATAAAATGGAAGAGGAGATAGTGAAAGATTCAATGATTAAATGGGCATAGAACTTTAATAACTTTATACATCATAACAGCGGCTCGAATAACATGCACAAAAATGGAAACAGGAAGAAACATCAACATGAAGAAGTGATTAAAAAAGTTTTAGAATGTGCTGAGATGGACAAGTTAACAAAACAAATTAAAAAAAAAAGAGACAGATTACTATAGAATTTGGAACAAATGTTATGAATGGCTTGAGAGCAGAAATAAAGAATAACACAAATAGGGGAGAAGATAAAATGTAAAATATGTATGTAACGAATATATATTTACTTACATACATACATACATATAATATTTTTTTTAACCTAATGGTTTTAAGGGAAAAAAAGTTAAGCATTAATGGGTTTTTCAGGCATCTGAAACAAATATATAGAAATGTGTAAAATTAAGGCTATTAGGATTAGAAAATACATTGTAATCAATCAAAAAGGGGACAATGAAGAAAATGAAACAATATGAGAGACATGGGGCAGGGGGAAGTCACAGTGCAAAGCAGACCACGAAGAAACACTTGTTAAAAAGAGGATATATTTATATGTTGTATGTTATGTGTTTGTCATAATGTATAGTAATAAAACAATAAAACTTTTTTTTAAAAAGAGTATGTTGTAGTTGGAAAAATCAAATTCATCTCAAAAAGAGGTATTAGCAATGCTTCAGGAGTTACAGGAATCCATGACTAAAAGCCACAATCAGATAAGGAAAGACATAGGAGAAGTGAGAAATGATATGGGATAGATGAAAGAAAAATTCATAATATGGATGAAGAACTTGAGAATTTCTAACAATTGATAACATAAAATGAGCAAAGAATTCAGAAAGTGGAAGAAAAAGCAGAACAAATAGAGAAAAAAGTAGGGGTTATAAATTATAAGTTGACACAAGCAAATAAAGAGCTAGAAAACATCGTGATAATGTTGGAATCAGAAAAAGCTGCCCACTACCTGAGATTCCAGAATATAGAAGAGGAGAAAGGAGGGGACCTACCAGAGATAATGGAAGAGTTTCTGGTGAAGGCACTGGGAATAGATAAGCAGAAAATGGAAATGGATGAAACTTTTAGAATTTACACAAACTATGCAAGAAGATATAAACTGCTTAGAGAAGTACACATAAGGTGGATAAGTCGATAAGAGATGAGATACTCAACAAGGCAAGAGATGAACTATTGGAATATAAGGGGAAGTGATTGTCTTGAAACAGACTCCTAGGAGAGTAAGAGAACTTCGAAAACAATACCATTTCTTAACTACTGTGCTGATCAAATACAATGTAAATTTCAGATGGTTAATACCTGAAGGGATATTAGTTACCTGGCAGGAAAAAAGACATACTAGACTAGACTCACTATTTTAACTCGGAATAGGAACAGGAAATAAGAGGAGAAATAGTGCAGAAAGGCCAAGAAGTACTAATGACAGAAGGAAAATATTTACAGCAAGATGAGAGTGGAAAGGAAAAAAAAGAATGTGCAGAATGAGAAGGAGCAATAGGAAAAGAACCCAGAGAAATAAGAGCAACTAGGAGTATAAGACCTAGATACAAGTAAAGCAATGCAAGGAGAAACAAAGACATTATCAGTCAATATAAACGGATTTCACCACTGGGTGGTACTATACATTAAAGAGATAATAAATGCGAAACAAGTCTTTAAAGATGAAGAATGGAGAATTCTGATGCTGGAGGTGACTTTAAATCAAAAACAGACACTCTTGGTTGCCACAGCATAGTTATGATCATAGGAACCCTTTTTTTACTTTTTTAAAGCATTTTTTTTACTACCTATTCGCCTGAACCATTAGTAAAAAAATGCTTTAAAAAAGTTTTTTTTAAAGTTGGCCATGCCCACCCAGTCACATGACCCCCCCACCAAGCCACACCCACAGAACCAGTAGCAACAAATTTTACATTTCACCACTGAGTCATTAGTATTTGTGATGCATTTTTCAATGTTCAGTTGACTGAGTTTCATGTTTAATGAATAAAGTATATGATAATAATGATGATGAAAATTATGCATCTCCTCCTGGCCTGCATGGCTGTTAATAAAGCAGCTATCCAGGATTTTGGAGAGAGTTGTGGATATCCATGCTTTCGAATATTTATTTTTCATAAACAACTACTGAATATTGTGGGTGTATATCTGAATTAATCTATTTTGTATCAGAAATAATTGTGTATCTGAAATAATCTATTTTTCTCCATTACTATTACTCAGTTACTCCATTTTGCTATCAATATGCACAAACACCCAATGTAAGATGATACATTGGGAGAAAAAAATGTGGCATAGAAATCTGGCATGCTATGTGAAGGGATCACTAAAGAAAGAATGCCAAATGGAGAAAGGAGAGAGGGAAAAGTTAGGAATTTAGAACAGGAGAAGCATCAGTGATAGAACTGTGTAGTGCAGTATGGGTTAGGAAATTAGAAAATTATACACAAGTCAACTATAGAGAGATGAAAGGGGTGGCATGCGTGAACAGCTAATTCCAGAAACCTAAGGGAACTCACCTGGCTGCCTGGACCAACTTCTCTAGCATTTGAACAAGAACTCCCCCATCATTCCTCAGGCTTTCACAGTGTTTCTCATTTGAAGTTACCTGTTAGTAGAAGACGAATTACCAAAAATTTACAAAGATACTCATCTCTAACCAGTGTAATCTCTCTATATTCTATTGCTCCACCAATATTTTAATCCAAATTCTCTGCAATCATTCTATCTCAAGATTATATAATCATATAATATGTTACATTTGGCTACAAGGACTTTTTCAAGTAATGCTACTTTATATTCTTTATAAAGTACTTTATATTAAAGAATTATATTCTTTCTGAGCAAGATTAATTCAGGAATCAAATAATTCAAAGTAGAGGTATGGGAAGTTGTTTATATTTTAATATGAACCAACCTATTTGGTATTTTATCAATTTGTCAGTTACGTTGTATTCTATTCTTCTGCAAATTTGCAGTGGAATTCTTGGTATTAAAGCAATGTATGCAAAAATGTTTACTTTGAAGAAATATTTCTGGATTAGAAACCAAGAGACTGTGAGTTCTCCTCTATCGGACTAGGTGATTTGAGGCCAGTTACTCTTTCTGTCCTACTTTCATGTGTAGAGAAAATAGGGGCCAAAAGTATTATGTATACTTCCAGGAATAGAAGGTAAAAGAGATATTGAATACATACAGTAGATAGAAGAAAATGTAAGTATACCTTTCAACTGCCCAATTAGCGAACCCAAAACAAGAAAAGAATCTCAGGAGAATTGAATTCCCAAAAGTAAAACTTTATTACATAGATATATCATATTGGTACTGAAGAAACAAAACCAGCTCTGGTTTACCCTGTGCAAATGCTTGCGCAGTTAAACAATAATTTCCCCTTCTACCCACCCCTGGCTGATCACATTGTCCAATTATGAGGTGTTCTTTTGTTATGGGAATAGTCCCTCTCTTTCTCAAGCACCTGCAGTGATGACCTTGATGGCTTCCATACTCTCATGATCTCTACATAAATTTTCCATTTTCCCCTTCCCTCTCCCAGTTCATTGGCAAGTTGAAAAGCACAAAGGTTTGAAAGAAGCAAAGTGGTTTGATCTTGACAATAGCATTGGTATATTCAATTTAGAAAATATATATGAATTATTAAGCATTTTTTACTTTAAGCTCATGCAGCATTGGAATAAAGTGAATTTGCGCACAGTATATTTGAATCTGGACAAATTCAGATTTATCTATTCGTAGTTTCATTAGTTGAAGACAAAAAACAATTAAAATAGCAAACAAAAATTCCATGGGAGATTAACTTTCAAGATACAGTATATTTTACTGATGACAGAGGAAAAAGTTGCTAAAGCATTTTAAAAAATATACTTAATTTTATCAACTACCGTGTTTCTCCAAAAATAAATCCTGGTCTTATTTTCTTTTGACCTCTGAAATAAGCAGTAGGGCTTATTTTCAGGGGTGTCTTCATTCTCCCCCCCCCCCCAATGTATGAGGCGGGGGTTTAGCTGCCCCATGCGCCCCGCACTGGTTTACCTCAGGGTCCCCGCAGCCATCCATGCCATGAGAACTGCCTTGTGATGATGACTCCAGCAGCCGCATCTAGAAGGAGCCTGCGTAGCCGCCGGCCAGTGGCTGCTTATTGCAGCTGCAAGAGAGCAGGAGGCTGAGTGATGTACCCCACACATCCTGTACCTGCTTGCCTCAGGGTCATAGCAACCATCCACCCCTCAACTGCTTCGCAGCAGCCACTCCAACAACCACACCCCGCAGGAGCCTGCATGGCCACTGGCCTGCTTCTATTGCTTATTGTGGCTGCAATGGAGCAGGAGAGTGAGTGACACGCCCCACGCACCCCACACTGGCTTATTTTGGTGTCCCAGCAGCCATCCATGCCACAACACCTGCCTTGTGGCAATGGCTCCAGCAGGAGCCTACGTGGCCACCATCCTGTTTCTGCCTATTGCAGCCACAATGGAGCAAGAGGCTGAGCGAAGTGCCCCATGCGGCCTGCACTGGCTTGTCTGAGGGTCCTATCACCCAGGCCACCCATCCATAACTCTAATCCACAATGCCTAATCCTAGCTCTAACCACAATTGCAAATCCTAACCACAATTGCAAATCCTAACACCCCAGGGCCACCATAATTGCAAACCTTAAGTACCACCCCATGGTAACCACAATTGCAAACCTTAACTACCACCCCATGGCAACCACAACGCCAAATCTCAATCACCATCCCAGGGCAACCACAATGCCAAATCCCAATCACCACCCCAGGGCAACCACAATTGCATACTCTAACCCCCAATACAGGGAAACCACAATGCTCTTGTACAACAATCTACATTTATTCAAATAGTCATGTCATCTTCTTCTGTAACATTGTCATAACTCTTCAACTCCCAATTCCTGTCTATATTTCTTGCGACTCATTTTCTATAAAACCATTGGTCCCAATCTCTGATGTCTAGCAATAAAGATCTCGTTGAATGAGCACTTCTTGTCCATGTAGCCTGCTCATAGTGCATTGGCAACAAAGGTGTCACTAATTTTACCCCATGAATTCTTCACCCAAGTCACCTCTGGCAGGCTAGGCTTCACAAAGTTTCCACACTGATTTCTATCCATTCTATTTTCAATTTCTATCCATTCTATTTTGATTTCCATGTGCAGGTAGTCCTTGAATAGCTTGTTTATTGCAGTGTCAAAAGTCTTGAAATATGCAGTCATTCCTGCAGGAATCATTATCTGATCTATTCTTCTCTGTGCAAGAAACTTCTCCATGTCTTTAGCACGGTGAGTGCTGGCTGAATCCCAGACTAGCAGACCTCTTTGGCCACCTCACACAACAAGTGGCAGCATTAAATCGACCCACTTTCTTATAACTGTTTGTGTGCACCAGCTTTTTCTGTTTCAAGAAGATAAATCCCTGAAACATGTTGAATCTTTTTTTTCTTGCCCTTAGCAATGATTAGAGGTGGGGCTTTGTTTCCATCCAGATGAATTGCCAAAATGCAGGTAACATGCACTTTCGTAACCAGTGGAGGGAATGTAGATTGACGAGGTACCCCTCTGATCAATTGTCATTTGAGATCCTTCACCCATAAACACTACAGTTTCATTCGTAGCAATCATGTTGGAGAGTTGGTATTTAGAAAAGTCGATGCCATCAACGAATGTATGTGCATGTTTGGTAAGTGTGAACAGTGTAGTTGATCTTAGAGACAGTTCATATCGCTGAAGGAAACCATCCAGTCAGTGTTGTGATGCTTTGAATTTTTCCAGGGAAATTTGTATGTGGTGCCATTGCAAGGGCAAATGCTTGGATTATCAGCCCTGCACACAATCAAAGGCTTTGCTTTCCTGTCAGCAATCCATTCAGACATGCTGTCTTCCAGTTCAGGAAATAATGGTTGCTGAACTGATCCACACCTGCGCTTCTTAGCATTTCCATTGTGCACCTGTTGACAGAGATTATTGTACTCTGCTCGCCATTTTCAGACCATATGCAGATCCAACTTCTTCTCTTTGCAGAAAGCCATAAGATTCTTGCCCTGAGAATCCTCCACAATTCCTTTCTTGAACTCAACAGAATACTCTTTCTTTTTGCACTCATCTTCCCTGGGAGTCAAAATAAAATTCCCTTTAAACCATTAAATCATTAATTTAATAACTTGCAGTCACAACAAGGCAGTTGTCATGGTGTGGATGGCTGCAGGGACCCTGAGGCAAGCTGGTGCGGGGTGTGTGTGGTGCATTGCTTAGCCTCTTGCTCCATTGCAGCCGCAATAAGCAGAAGTGGGCCGGTGGCCAAGCAGGCTCCTGCTGGACCTGGCTGCCAGAGCAGCTGCTACAAAGCGGTTGTCGTGGCTGCCCAGATCCTGAGGCAACCCGGTGCAGGGCGCATGGGGTGTATCACTCGGCCTCCTGGTCCGTTGTGGCCACAATAAGCAAAAGATGCAGGCCAGTGGGCATGTGGGCTCCTGCTGGATACGGCTGTTGAAGTGGCCATCATGAGGCAGTTGTCATGGTGCGGATGGCTGCTGGGATCTTGAGGCAAGCCGGTGCGGGGCGCATGGGACAGTTCCTTATTTTGGGGGTAGGGCTTATGTTAAGCACATGCATAAAACATGATATTTCGGGATAGGTCGTATTTTTGGGGAAATATAGTAGGTTTGAGAGACTTGAATGAAGACATTAAAAGCTTTTCAGATAAAACATATATTCCACAGATTGCCCATGACTAAGCTGCCTTTATAGTACAATAAACAGTGAATACCATTTATATCAATGAATCAAACCACAGGAGTTTTCTGCAGATTGGTACAAAATACTGCTGGAGATTGACAATGATGCTTCCTATTTCTTTTTTAAAAAGGGATGTGGTGGCTCAGTGGCTAAGATGTTGAGCTTGTCAATCGGAAGGTCGGCAGTTCAGCGGTTCGAATCCCTAGTGCTGTGTAAAGTGTTGAGCTCCCGTTACTTGTCCCAGCTGCCAACCTAGCAGTTCTAAAGCACATAAAAAATGCAAGTAGAAAAATAGGGCCCACCTTTGATGGGAAGGTAACAGCAGTCTGTGCGCCTTTGGCATTTAGTCATGCTGGCCACATGACCATGGAGACATCTTCGGACAGCGCTGGCTCATTGGCTTTGAAACAAAGATGAGCACTGCCCCCTAGAGTCGGGAACGACTAGCACATATGTGCGAGGAGAACCTTTACCTTTATTCCTTTTCAGATGCTTTTATAACTATGATTTTGAAGGCTAGAGAGATCTTGTGGATTATTGTCTAATTTCATTGTTACAGGCTGATGCTAAAATGTTCACAACTACATTGTTATAATGACTCCAAAATTCCCTTTTTACCCTACATAATATGGTTTTTTAAATAAAAGGACACTGAATAACATCAGAATATTAACTAAGAAATTAGAAATGCAGTCTGATAAATTGGACATGGCAGAAACTTCAATGTGATAGTTTTAATTTTTAAAACATGTTTTCTATTTTAATAATTAGATTAAGATATGAAATACCAATACATTAATTAAGAAATAATCAATGGATTCTTTTTTGTCAATTAAGACACT